ACAACTACAGGAGCACCTGAGATCACCCCCAGTTTTTGGTGGGGTTCATGTTGCTTAGTCTTTAGTTTTCTATGTTGTGTCATCTGTACTATTATTTGTCTGTTTGTCTTTTTATTTTTGGCCATGGCGTTGTCAGTTTGTTTTCGATCTATGAGTTTGACTGTCCCTCTGGTATCTTTCGTCCATCTTCTCGTTTATAGATCAAATATGTGTAGCTGTTAATTGTTTTTTGTAAAATGTACCCGCATTCGGCACTTTTCTTGCCTTTTCCTATTGTTGTATCATTGACGTTTTTCTTAAGCACAAAGACATTTTCAAAAAGTTTCTTCTCAGAATAGATCGAAATATTATCATAATCTTACTTCTGTCAATTAAAATGTACCTGTGTAACCAAAAATTATCAGGATTTTTTTTTTTTTTTTTTTTTTGGTGTTTTAACGCCATTTTTAAGCACCGCTTTTGGGCTATTTCGTGGCGGCCAGTTGTTTTTGGTGGACGAAGCCGGAGTGCCCGGAGAAAACCACCGACCTTCGATAGGAAAACTGACAATCCTAGTCAATTAATATTGGAGTCGAGTGCACCCGCACGAGCGGGGTTCGAACTCACAACCCCAGTGTGGACTGGCTAGTGATTACAGTAGTAACTACTTAGACCACTCGGCCACCGAGGCCCCAAAAATTATCAGGAATATAGCCATTCCTTTACACTTCGTACCAGTATAACGGTGCATACGTTTACGATGTTGATGTTTTTGAATAAGAATATCCGTCAGTTTACTTGTTAATAAGTTCATATAACGATGACATATATTGTCACTTAAATATTATTTTATCCATGCATATTTGCATTGTATCATAGATCAAATTTATTTGTTCAGTGTATGTTCACTGGTGTTAATATGTCCTTTGATTGAGTTTAGCCATTTCAATTGATATTTCATAGTGTGTCTTTCTATGTTGTGATGTTACACTATTGTTTCAGATAAGGGTGAAGGTTTGGTACCATTAAAACGTTTAAACCGACTGCAATTGTTTGCACCTGTCCTAAGTCAGAAATCTGATGTTCAGTAGTTGTCGTTTGTTGATGTGGTTCATAAGTGTTTCTCGTTTCTCGTTTTTTATTTAGATTAGCCTGTTGGTATTCCCGTTTGAATAGTTTTACGCTAGTAATTTTTGAGACCTTTTATAGCTTGCTGTTCGGTGTGAGCCAAGACCGTACTTTGACCTATACTTGTTTACTTTTATAAATTTTTACTTTGATGGAGAGTTGTCTCATTGGCACTCATACCACATCTTCTTATATCTATATATGTCATGCATTGCCGTCTGAATTTTCAATATTCGAATACTGAAGTATATTTGTTTGGACTTATTTATGATAGTGTTGTATTAAAATTGTCATGTAATATTGATGAAAACTCGTCCTTTATCTCTTGAACATATGTTAAAAGCATAAAGAAATAAATGAAATAATATTTTGAGTGCTGTCTTCTTGAATTTAGTTAGAACGCTGTTAATCTAAATATCGATGTACGCTATGGATACAAGTGATAGCATTACATTCACAGTCACACCCTAGATCACAAGAACAAAGTGTTCGTGACAAATGTGACTTGCCTTTTCCATTTAACAATCAACGGTGTAATGATTAAAAAAGATGGTATCTGAAATCTGTTGTACATCAATTAGATCTGTTTATCGAAAGGCGAGACATATTGTACCATGAATAATTAGGTTCGTTTTAGTTATGTAATTATATAACTGGCTGATTTGCTTATTATACTTTTCAACGTAATTGAACATAACATAGGTTTAGTTTAAGGAGGTAACTATAGAACAGGAGTGGAAAGAAAATTATGTTTTACTCATACTTTTTAACATTGATGGTTTTTTCATTATGGCTTCATAGAACGATCATACTTCTTTTTTAATCATTAAATGTATAAAATGAAACACATTACGGACTTGAGAATAGAGATAATTATGATTCAATATTTTGTCATTGTCTTTCCTGTTGGATTCATAAGCACGCTCAGAGATAGAAAAGATGAAGATTTTGAAAGAAAATCTATTCAGGTAAAACCTTCTGAAGGCAATTAGACAAAGAACAAAAATTAAGATTTATAAGCAGAAAAAAACTTATTCTTTTTAATTTTGTCTTTTTTTTTACGTCAAATTCTACTCTCATTTCTTCTTTCAAGAAAACTCAAATTCAAAAGAAAATCATATCATTTAAAATGACGCAATTGTTTGGAATATCACATTATGTCGGTGTTGTAACGGTATGACCAAAACAAATCTGAGATACCAAACACTGTTTTTATCCAATAAAAAAGAACTGTTTCAAACTAAAACAATGTGACAAGTTACATTCAAACGTTTGAGTCGGCGTGCTGAAATGAGATATCATTGATGCATTCTTGGTATTTTTCTGTAGACAAACTGTTCGTAAAACGAGGAAATCGTTCTTACTGCCTCTGGTTTTCCAAAACTAGGCCATATCTTTTTGCATTTTGGTAGCTCAACAAATTTGATGACGTAAGTGATTGGAATCCTTCAAAAACTGCAACATCGACATATTTTCAAACGTGTTTTCGTAATCTGATATATTACAGAATAGTTGTCTGATGTGCAACTATTCTTATTGTGTCCTACTTATATTCTCGATTATCATAATTTGACTAAGTATGGATTTGCAAGGCGAGTGATTCGTGCATAGCTTGAGATGATTTCAGTAATGCACGCCCGGTATCGCTCTGTTTGGAGTTATTGAGATTCTCTCAGTTTTGTTTTTGAGATTTGAATATCGGTAAACTACTGTTGTTGTAATTTAGCACTTGGTTACACAGCTGTAGATGCAATAAGAAAAATTCACAGAAAAAGAAAGTTTAGAACAGAGTACTCTCTATAAACTTAGTCAACAATATCACATCAAGATAAACTGATAGACATTTACGTGAGACAATTTATTTGAATTTTTAGATTTTTAACATTAACAAATTCTTTATTGCATTATCTAGTTGTTAACAACATTTAGCAAAACATACCCATTACATTTACTTAGATAATTGAAGTTAAAAAACACATTTACAAGGCCGTTAATTTTGGTTCTTAGCTCTACTCCTTTAGTTTGAAGGTCAAAAGTGCGACAGTCCTATAGATTTAGATATGCTTATCCCTTTTTGAAAGTACTATAAGTGTTTCCAAATAATTAATTATATGTTGATTTAGCCTTCACACTGTTTTGATTCGAAAGTTCCTAATGAGTTGTTCGTAGACGAAACAATTCAAACAAACATACAAATAAATCCAACAAAGACGTCAACAAAAAAATGTGTAGTTACAAAAAAATGTCAATGATGCCAACAAAACAGTTTTTGTAGTTATTAGTATATTTATACAGACGCCGATTAAAAAAGTTTTTTATTTGACAGTACATACCATATATAGTATTCACTAAAAATAAGTAACTTCAACACATAAATCTATAACGAAAGAACAAATTGTATTACATGTGAAGAAGACACTGATTATTTATCTATTAGGTGTTGAAACTTTCCGATGAGTTTAAAATAAAAACGAGACGTTCTTTGGCGAAATCCGGGCTTATTAATGGCGTCTTACAAAGTCTGAGTAGCAGCTGCAAGCTCTTGAATATCGTATGTGTTAAGAAATGTATACTCCATACGCGGGTGAAGTTGGTATATTGCTGCTAAGGTGAGGAAAATTTATAATTTCATAGTTGAAATCGTGGCGTTTGTCATAGATTCTGGTCCTGAGATGTTCGCTGTTGTCAAATACGAGGTAAATATGTAATAATGAATCAGAGGAAGCTTTGTGTGTGGTTTCTTTGATCTCTAGTTCAGGATTATATATTAATGGGACCCAATCATAAACGTTAGGATTTTTAATGGAAAGAATATCAATAATGATACCTGTAAGTGAAATTAAATGATCTAGTTTCTTTGGTTTTCTTGTCTTTAAAAGTGTCTGAAGGAGCTCCGACTCATGATCATATGCAAATAGAAAAAGGTCGGAAAATGGAAAATTTAGGGTGCACAATTGGTTCCCATAGAAATGCCGACAACCTACTGGACATAGAATTAAAGTAATGAAGAAAGATGACTCAGTAGACACCAGCATTTTTATTGTTTATTTTCTTAAATTCAAAACGTACACATCAAAAGCAACAAGTTAAAATAAATTTAAAAGTACAGAAACTTCTTGGGGAAATATTACAGTGTTACCTTGTGCTTCTGCCATGATGCTACGTGTTCATTAGACATACTGAGTTTGAAAAAAAATAGTATTTCTTCTATACAAAATAAAAATTTGTTGATATTAAACCACAAAACGATAACAATGGAAGTGAAAGTGCATAAATCAGCTATAAATTTTTACAGCATATGTGATCCCTCTGGTATTTTTTGTGGTATGTGGGATCATAAGATTTAGTAATTGTATGGTCATACATAGTTAGTCATGGTTTAAATCATTAAAAGCTTAACCAATGTATTTAGCAATATATATATAAAAATAAGGAGATGTGGTATGATTGCCAATGAGACAACTATCCACCAAAGTTCAAATGAAGTGGATGTAAGCAATAATAGGTTACAGTACAGCCTTCAACAACGAGAAAAACCCACATATACTCGGCTATAAAAGGCCCCGACATGAAAAAGATGAAACAATTCAATTGCGAAAACTAACGGCCTAACGTATAACAAAACTATTTACGAAAAACAAATATGACAGACATGAATCAACGACAACCACTGAACTACAGGCTCCCGACTTGGGACAGGCACATAAAAAATATGACGGGGTTAAACATATTTTTGAGCGCTCAATGCATAGATAATGATCTCCATGGAGAGGACGACAGCATTGTTTCAATGCCTGCAGTAAAGCATATTGTTGTAACTGAATATTATTCAAGTATAACGAGGAGCAATTTTATTTGGCCTATGATATTGATAGAATGAACAACATTAAATCTTTTCAGTCGTAGATGAGTTTTATTGATAAATTAATACATTGATATAATTGTGTCCCTTTCTTACAGAAATAAAGATAAACATGTCAAGATTCATACATTTAAAAACAGAATGACACTTCTATCATTAGTTTTAATGGAGTTTAAAATGGGCCATAACCTTACCACAAACGATTACTCATATCAACACTATTGTTTTTTGGTTAGAAAGTGGCTTATATGCCAAAAAAAGGAACGTTTTCGAAATGGGATGATGTTGAATTTTTTCCTTCAATGTATGGAGTTTCAACCAGCATCAAGGGCAAACATTTCCTTATTGATTTTTAACCAGACTAATACTATATGAATGCGTTAACAATGTTTATATAATAACAGTGACCTTATTGCTTCACATTTATTTACCCATTGACTTTTAAAAAATATAAAAAATGTCAAAAGAATTGACAAACAAAACATGTAACAAATTACAACTTCTTTCCAATGTTCAGTTAAATGGGTAATAGGCATGTATTTTAAATAATTTAACCTTCCTTTATTCTTTCGGTCTGTAAGAGTTTTTCTTTGGCTCGGTCTATTTTTTATCCTATCCTTGGTATATTTATTGTGCCTTTTATTTATTATATTCATTAAAATCTCTAACAAAAGGTTATCACTTAAGTAGAAATGAAGTGTACTACACGTTTATCTAATTGGTGGAAATGCATCTGATCGATTAATTAATTCTAAAATAAAATACTGGTAAGCAATGGTGGCATTTCAATAGGTAAATGCAAATAGATTTATTTGAATTTATGATATGTCGATATTTCTCACTTTAAGCCTGGTATCTATGATGAGTTTACTGTTGAAGGGTCCTTATGTTTAACCTTTTTTATTAAGTGTCATATTATTAAAACGCCAGACTTTATTCAGACTGACAAAAATGATAGTTAGAGATAATTAAACTTGAGAACTGTCTGACTCACATTTGAAAGTTATGTTTGGGTAAAATTAGTTAAATCTAAAATTATAGATAGGGATGCTCACTCCTTTACTATTTTTTATCTATTATTGCTTAAAACTTTTGATCTGTTCTATAGAAAATATCTAATATTTCAAACTATAATGTATATTTATAATCATGATATTTCATATCTAACATGTATGCCCTATGTATGCTTCAATTGTTGGAAATAAAAAAAACCAGATTATTTGTTAGAAATATTTTTGGCTAGAACCATAATAATATTTTATAACTATCGTGGAAGTAGTTAAATAGAATTCAGTGATAAAATAGAAATAAAACAGTTGATATTTAATATATATATATATATATATATATATATATATATTTAAATTGCTTTGTCGGTTACAATTTCTTTTCGTTTTTTTTAGGTTCAAACTAATAATTTAACCGGTGATATTAACACTTACTTACATTTACACAATGTGTTATTTTGATTTTTTTCTATAGTTTTCCACATGGCATATGAATGGGTTGCATTCTTCGAATTATTTATGTAAAACAAATGGCAAGGCTTATCATTCAAACTTGCTCGCAAAGCTTTTATATAACATTTCGGTTGAACTATTCCTGTACGTGAAATCCAGGGTAAAAATCCACTACCATAGACATCTTCTAGCCAAAAGAAAGGCATAACTGTTGTTGCTTCATACATTTCGCTTATAACGTCAGCGGACATAATTGAGGAAGGTCCGGCACAATAAGGAGGAAACGTTGCAAATCGGTATTCAGACGGAGACATATACCATTTATTACGAGTCCTGCGAGATGGTCTAGCTTTTATAAGAGTAAAACATTCTAAAACCTTGGTTTTGTTTTGTTTATTGCTAAGATAAGGAATAAGAAACGGAATGTTGATAGTAATATCATCGTCAATTTTGATGACATAAGTCGCATTGTTGCAGAATCTTTTTACCCAGAACAAACTAAATACTCGTTTATATGTTAAGTTTCTGTAGCTGTCTATAAAATTGCCTTGTATAATGTCTCTGTATTTGACACCTTCCTGTTCAATTTCCTTTTGTTGAGTATCATTCATGGTTTGTCCAAGCACAAAAACATATTCAATACGTTTATTGTCAAACTTTGAAATAGATCCAAATGTTTTCCTTATAACATGACGTTCGTCGAATTTGTATGTAGCTGAATAAACAAGAACTAGCAAGAATACATGTTTTTCTGTACACGTCGTTCCGGTATCAAGTAACGAACTATATCGATGTTTGTGAATGAGAGGGTCCGTCAGATTATTTGTTGATACATTCATATAAAAAAGTTCAAAATCCGTTGAGATATTTCGTCCATTGTATGTTATGATCCCTTTGCTTCTGTTTAATAATTTCGTCTGTATTTTCCATCTTTTAACAAATTGGTTTTGGATATTTGGTATAATATTTGATATAATATTTCTTTGCAGTCCTCGCTGATTTTTCAAATAACTGTTAATTAAAATCATTAGAAATATTACAAACGAAATTTTCCTCAGCACTTTTTTCCTAGATTTCATCACTTAATTGTGCTTTACGGATTTACAAATGTAGTCAAATGGGTGGTATCGTACTTCCCAGATGAAATGAATGACGTGCGTCATAAATAAAATTTAAATACATTTTAGCAATACCTAGTTGTTGTCCTATATTCATAGCATTGAAAAAGTTTATTGATCACTCAACCGGCACCTTGTTGCAACAAAAGGTTTTATTAATTGCAAATTAGAATGCACACTTGTACGTGACTATGTACGTACTATACTATTATTTGTCTGTGTGTCTTTATATTTTTGGCCATGGCGTTGTCAGTTTGTTTTCGATCTATGAGTTTGACTGTCCCTCTGGTATCTTTTGTCCCTCTTTTGTACTTGAGGAAAAGGTTATTTTTGGATGAAATATGTGGTTATGCTCCTTTAGTTATCAGTATCAATAGTAATCTAAATATGTTTTTCTAGGAACAAAATACAAAAACACTGAAAAAAACTTGGTTACTTCAAGTTTGATTTTTATCAAAGTTTGGACATTTTATCTTATGTTTCAATTATATTTTTCCTTAATTATACTTGTACTTTAACTAGCAAACATGTTTAATTGTGTTTCCATATGACTTTAAATCAATTTGGTAACTTACATTGATTTATTCATCTAAATCGCTGAAAGACTTATTTCTCTAGTTACTTTGCATCAACATTCACCCCGTGTCTTAGTTTGCAGTCCTGATTTTTGTGGACTGTTTACAAAACTTTGAATTTTTCGACATACTAAGGATTTGTCTATCCCAGGAATAGATTACATTAGCTGTATTTGGCAAAACCTTTTGGATTTTTGGGTCCTCAGTGCTTTTTTAATCGTTTATTTGATATGCATATTGACCATTGAGGTTCAAATGTATATTGAGACTTATCAACGGATTTTTAATTACGTTGGTCAAAAACGACGAGTTCTACTATCCTTTGGAGGCACATACATTCACCAATAACTTTGTTCTTCAGTGGTTGGTATTCCGTTTGCTTTAGATATCAGTGATGTATTACGTTTATTTATTCTTTTCAAACTGTATGTTTTTATTTTATACCGTTAAATAAAGGCAACAGTAGTATACCGCTGTTCGGAACTCATAAATCGATAGAGATAAAAACAAATCCGGATTACCTACTAAAACTGAGGGAAACGCATCAAATATAAGAGGAGAACAACGACACAACAAAAACACAACATTAAAATGTAACACACACAGAAACGAACTATAATATAACAATGGCCATTTTCCTGACTTGGTACAGGACATTTTAAGAAAAAATGGTGGGTTGAACCTGGTTTTGTGGCATGCCAAACCTACCACTTTATGGCAACGTCAAACACAACCCCAAAACGACAACATCACATGACAGGACCACAATACAAATAAATGGGAGAACATATAGGACAAAGAAACACACGAATAATAGCTAGCAAAAGGTACTAGGCTTTAAATTCAATACGCCAGACGTGAGTTTCGTCCACACAAGACCAACCAGTGATGCTCAGATGAAAAAAGTTTGAAAGCCAAAACACGTACAAAGCTGAAGAGCACCGAGGACCAAAACTTCCAAAAAGTTTCGCCTAACACGGCCAGGGTTTTCTGCCTGGGACAAGAACATCCTTATTATTTAGAATAATTTATAATTTTGCAAACAGAAAAATTTTATAAAATGACTATATAATAGATATACATGATAAAACCGAAGTGGGGACTAACAACAGAATAAAAACGGATACATTACATTAAAAAAACTTTAATCCAACATATAAAAATACACAGCCGAGTTAGCCAAAGCCTCAACGCACAAAGTAACGTCACATTTGAAATTCTAAAAAAACACACAAAGTGACGTCACATTTTAATTTGTAAAAATATTTCCCAAAAATAAGATAGGATTAGGATTGATTCAAGATAGATTTGTAATACTGCCATTACATTTATTAATAACAATGAAAATTACAATACTTATTAATATCAAATTGTGATAGTAATTAGATAATTAATTGTATTATCTAGCTATGTCGGTGTTTCTTCTGAATCAATAATATTGGTTATCCATAATTTGTCTTCAAAAACCGCTATCATATTACAAAATTTCACATTCGATGAAATGTATGGGATTTACATGAACAGACGATTCAATTTTTAGGGTAAGAAAAAATACATTCACCTATCGGCTTTTGTATGATGCGTTATCATCTGATATTACTCTTCAACGTATCAAAATAGAAGTATAACGACTTGTGTCACTATTTGGTCAGGAAGTGCTAACCCTTTCGACGGACATGAGATCACACTGTTGCTCAATCTTTAGTTTCCTCTTTAATGAACTATTGTTGCTTTTTCGTTGTTTTGAATTTCACCATCATAGTATGTCTTGTTTTTCTACGTCTATGAATTTTGAAGAAACAATCACTGTATTCAATTGAAATCATTAACACTCTGGAAAATAAAAGGAAGTCACAATATATATTTTAAATCATTATTTTGTTTTTAAGTTAACATTATATTTTTATATTCTTTATACAAATGTGTACAGTAAGTTTGGTTTTCTATGCAAATAACTTGTTTTGTTTCCGCTGTAAAGTGACTCATAAGAGAATATTGACATAAATATTCAACCCCGTATCTACATCCTTATATTCGATATAAAGTTTCAATTTCTGTAGGATTGAATAATAAATGAAAAATTAATGTTTTTTTTTCTACATATGAATAATTTAATTAGAAAAAATAACAGTCACTTAAGTAAAATCTGATGATGACTTTTTTACTTATTTTATAAAACAAACAGGAAACGTTCTTTTTTTGCCTTATTAATTTTCTGTTTTTTAGATGATGTTAAGCTAGCTGCTTCTCATGGCTACACTTTCCTTCCTTGACGTTAAATTTTACTTTCTTTGGATATTATTGATATGATAATTTTCGGAAAATTGGCAGTTTATAAAGTTTTAATTTATTGGAAACACTGAGGTTTTTTTCTATCCCCAGAATAGATGACCAATGCCGTATTTTGCACATTGTTTTTCCGCTTCTGGTCTCATTTTAGCGGTATTTTTTAACATTGCCATATAAGCGGGAGGTTTGGCTAGCCAAAAAAACAGGTTCAACCCTGCATTTTTTCTTAAAATGTTCTGTACCAAATCAGGAATATGGCAGTTGTTATCAAATAGTCCGTTTCTATGTATGTTGGCGCTTGTTTTTGTTGCAGTTCAGTGTTTCTGTTGTTCCGTTGTTTTCCTCTTATAGTTTATGTGTTTCCCTCGGTTTAAGTTTGTAACCCGAATTTTTTTTCTCTTAATCGATTTATGACTTTTAAACAGCGGTATACTACTGTTGCCTTTATTTGGTCTTCTACATTTTGTATCCGCAACTCTGATGAGTCTTATCTAGACAGAATGTACGTCTGGCGAAAGAAACAAATGCAAGCCTGGTATCTATGATGCACAAAAACAACTAACAGTTATCTTCTTGCACATTGTTTTCCCGCTTCTTGTCTGATTTGGTCTTCTACATTTTGTATTCGAGCAACTCTGATGAATTTTATCTAGACTAAATGTGCGTCTGGCGTAACAAATGCAAGCCTCGTATCTATGATGCACAAAAACGGTTATCTTTTTCTCAAGGTTATATACTTAATCTCTGTCGTTGTATTTGACTTTCATTGATGATGATGTTCTTTTATCTCTTATGGTGAGATGTTCAATCTCTGTCGTGATACTTAATTTTCTTATGATAATGTTTGATTATCTTCTGCCTAGATACGAATGTTTTCTCAGTATCTTCTCACAATTGGTGTTAAGCACCAATTTTTTCGAATATCAAAGAAGCAAAGGTAAAATACAAATGTACTTTCAGTTTGCTATGATATGGTACTTTGTGTTTAAGTTCGCTTACACCTTTTGTTGCGTTGTCTCTTGTACCGATATGATTACGTAACTGAACTGACTTTTATTGTTCATTCTTCTATTTACCTATTGTTATTCTACTGATCAAGAGTATAAAGGGAAAAGCTATAAAACCTATATATAGGTTAAATATACACTGATAAGGATATATCGAATACTGAAACTATATCTTTTTTCTTGACAGAAGAAATAATGGAGAAGCCACGAAGGTTACAAACAGCGCTTTCAATGAGGTTTTTTTCTTTTTGTCCACTTATAAATTTAGTTTTCTTCTAATTTTTCTGTCCTTAATTGAGGCTCTGAATATTGCTGTTGGGCAAATGGAAACATAATCGTTCGTTTTGTCATAATAAATATTTAGATTTATAAATTTATAAAGCAGATATGAAAAGTCTAGGAACCCACCATTACGGCAGCTAGATATTGTATATGAATTTGTAAATTTGTAAAAAAAACTACAATAACATAACTGATAGTAATATGAACCCATACCTCAACAATATACCTAATTTTCATCTTAAAATATGTCTCGCCAATCTACAAACTGTCCCAACCGACATAAAAATGAATCAAAGAAGTTACTTAAGGACACACATCACATCTAATCAGATAAACACTAAAACAAAGCATGTTAAGGAAACGTTGCATACAAACATTCAGCAGCATGACGGAACCGAATGTTTGATAAATTTGTCATCACTGAAAATCGTGTACTGTTGAAAAAATACTCCGATTCTAATATATAATCCTAAAAATCTAACATCGCCAAATTCATGTCGCTAATATAAGAATGAAAAACATAATACAAGAAAAGTTAAAGTAAGGGAGTGGTGCATATTTGCCAATGTGGCAACTATCCAACAGATGCAATATCAATCGAGAATATTCACGACTGTAAACAAATAATCCTATTTTGATATTCAAATACGACGTTCATTTTATTGTTTTTATTAAATAAAAACAGAATATCAAACCCTTTTCTGTGTAACGTCTGGCGTAAGTTGGAATATCTGTATGAATTGATATCACTGCACCTTTTTGGCCTATAAATATATGTGTATTGCCCACAGTTATCATAATAGTGGTAAATTGTAAATTCGAGATGATCGGTGCACCTTTTGCAACTATTTAAAGCGAAAGTTTGATTTGAATTTGCTGGGAGTATGATTAATTGTTT